TGGCCTGTAAGTCTTGTTGTTCTCGGACGCGATCCTTGGCTTGCTTCTCTAGTTCAAGGTCAATGAATTTTTGATTCTCAGTAATACCACAGATTCGACGGGAAATGTCTCTAGTGACTAGTGGTGCGTGTTGAGTATGAGTATCTTCCGTGTTGGTGAGGAGGTCCTGGCCGTTGTTGATACTGGGTCCTTCCTCGTTTGACTTGCGCTTCTTGCGCGCGGCCGTGTGTGCGACACAATGGTGTGGGTTTAGCGTATCACAGCACTAAACAATAGTAGTTAAACGATGCGTTGGTCAGCAGCAATATAGCTTCGATCATGTAAAACAATTGAACTCACCGCAGAGCACGCCCCAGCTTTGCAGCTGTTATTCTTGCGTCGGTTATGTGATGGCGCAAATTGGCCATCAACACCTTTGCATGGTGATTTAGACTTGTCACTCTTCTGTTTTTGAGTCGCAGGAGGTGTAAGAGGGGCTGGAGGACCGTCGATCTGATTTAGCTGCATTGCAAGTTGGTGGTCTTTGAATATTTGTCGTTGGATGGCTGACTGCTGTGGATTTGTCCTAAGAGCTTGGTTAATTAGAGCGACCTTAGATCGGAAGAGGTCCTTGGGAAATGATCGGTAGTAACCCTTGTCGAATTGACACTGGAGCAAAGGTGTGAAGAATATGAGTATATTGTTGATTCCCCGCAAATAAACATAATAGGCTCCTCACACTTATACCTATCAACGGATTCTGTGGTGTTTGTCGTGTTGGGTTCCAATACTTGGTTGAATGTTCCGGTCGGAATCGGCACTTTTCAGATTGGCAGATCAATCCAGTGGGATTGGGAGCTTCTATTCGAATAGGTAATGGTTGAAGTGGGAACAGAGGTCGTAGATATTTGCTATCAATGTATGGCGCACTTCGTTTATTGGGCATTGAGATTTGCTTAATATCACTTGGAATATAAGACAAAATCAAAACGTATCGTTTGTATTTGTAGGGATCATCATATCGTATGGGGTGTGTTATGTTTTGATCTTGGAATAAGGCGTCCATGTGATCGAGCAGTGTAGTTTGTGATTGAGGATGAACTGTGGTGATGTGATCCTTTGGAACGCTTACATCCTCTTTCGGTACGTAGGTGGATGTTACGCGATACTTGATGGGTTTCATTATCCGGAATGGGAGGTCATGGATTTATGCAGACCAAAGAGGTAATTGAAATTGTGATGTACGGGGATGTACCGACTGCGATGCAGTCCGGGATAGCTCACCTTTGCTCGCGCTCACATATGCTCGCCAAGTCCACTGCCCTTCGAATACTCTCCTATGTAAGGTGAGGCGTGAGTTTTGCACAGCACAGCACCGCAGGGCAGTTTACGTCTGACTGGCTGTCTGACAGTTCAAGTCACACGCCCCTATCCGTTGGGCTGTGAGAGAACAGTGTGAGAGACACAATGTTACAGCTTGTGGACCTTCACTGGCCTCTTTGCTTCTTTTTGGTCATTCAGGGTTTTGCTTCGCCATCCGATGAAGGTACGTAAACATGAATTTATTGATATTCTTTGCCGAACATTCCAATCACAGATACGATATTGATTGCTTCTTTTGTCTGTTTGTATGAATTCAAGAACATTTTTTCTATCAAAGAAAGCAAAGTAAACAGGCCAAGAACAAATTTATTCTCGATTGTCAATGATTTAATGTTGAAAGAATCCTACTGAAGTAAGAGGTCCGAACTCAAGTGATACATTTGAAGACCCACAGTATGATGCCAATCTTAAAAATCTTCATATGCACGACCAATCCAAGACCAAGGAAATTAGTAACCCAAACTAGTAGTCGCATCAAATTCTCTAGAAGTTGGTATCAAATTTCTGATTCACAAGGAGGTAGTGAACCAGTAGAAGCTAAATGCTTTTGGGAAGGTTGATTAGCTGATGTGTGCTTTAAAATTGTTTTAAGTGCTATTCATACCGACCAAACTTGAGAAAACAAAATCCAGAGACCTTTCAGTGCGGCTGGGCATTACTGTCACAGCTTGTGTCACTGGTAAGTAATTACGGTACTCAAAGCTGTGTATAGTTTTGTGTGTATAGTTTTTTTTGCCCAAATATACTTTTTTTTTGGCGGGGAAAAAAAAGTATATTTGGGCAAAAAAACTACATAGCTTTGAGCTCCCCATATGTATATCTGCGTTTGTTGATCAGATTCTGGTGGCTAAACTGTCAACCAAAATATCAAACTTAACCAAGTCCCTTGCCAAAGGCCCGAGCCCCAGCGAGGGACTTACCGCTTATAACGGAATCCTCGCGTGAGAAGTGAGCTGTATTTGCTCCAAATTCTCTACATCTCTTTATTTATTTTTCCTCTCAACAAACATGCCTTGAGACAAAAGAAAAGAATGACGGCAAGGGTCCATTACATATGTTCCAATTGCAACCTCCTCCGTATGTATTGTCTATCTGAAGCTAGCCTCTAATCCTTGCTCCATGTTTTCTCCGTTCGAAACCTGTACATGCTACCTGTATTTGCTGCGTGTTCTAGCGATAGGTTTGGCACGTTTGGCTAAAATGCAGGTGGTCGGAAATGGTCGGAAAGACGTTTTTAGCAAAACTGCAGTTTCCAACGCGTCCACCCAGGAAGTAATCCAGACTACCGGAATTGCTCCCGGAGTTTGGGAATGAACGATTTCAATCCCAAGTCAATGGCTACAAAACATAAACATCTGTTTGAATGTTGCTCACTAACACACGACGATAGAATGATGCAAGTGTATATTTGAGTTTTCTGAGACAGATTGGAAATAATCAATCCTAGACTTATCACGTTGATTGATGACTACCAAGAATATGTCTGAATTGTAATAGCACGATGGAAGTTCATAATCACACTTTGTTTGAGCTTAATGATTTCAGATCGCAAAGATTGGATCCAATACTTCATTGATGATCACAAAACATCTTCTTCAAGTAGATGCACTATAGCTTGATGATGGGTTGATGGAAGTTCATAGTGCGTGTCAAATATCGATGGGTTGGATCAAGCCTGGCTCGCAGCGCTGCGCAGCGCTGAAAACACTTAAATTAGCAGCGTAACTTTATTTGAGGGGAGGCAAGATGGGTAACTTTAGCGTAAGCGGGGGCAGGATTTTCTGCGGATTTAGTAGCTGAAAGCGCAGTTGTCCTCCGCACCGTTTCGCAGCGTTTCAGGCAAAAAAAACATTTTTTCCTTTTCACCATCACTTTGAGAAAAAAGAAAAAATGGTCGCGCACAAGTGGTTTGAAGTATAAATATTGTAATGAACTAGCATGACATTAAGTCGCCTTGAATAGAAAGATAACAAGTGTACTACATGATTTAGGTTCAAATTCAGCTGCAAGTATTTTACAAGAAGTTCAATTAAGAAAGCAGTTGGGTTAAAAAGGTTGTAGAGATGTTATCGATCCACTTGAATAGTTCAGATGAATACAAGATTGAACACTTAATCAAATTCGAGATGATTCAATAGCTGGTATCGATGATCATAAAGATTAAGATTGTTACTGTTCATCAACTTAAAAACAAGGTGATTGAAAAAGTGAAGATCAACACCTCTGCTTCTTGTTCATCAACTTAAAAACAAGGTGATTGAAAAAGTGAAGATCAACACCTCTGCTTCTTGGAAAGCTCCTGATGTGAATCGTTGTGCCATTGAAACTATCACTTTATTGGCTGATGAGGTCATTGCTGATGCATAGATCAAAATCACAGTTTCGATTTTTCGCTTGTCTAATACAGCATTAAACTTGAATAGAATAAAAAACAAGAAATCAAAAGGAATTCATGCAGATTTAGTTAATGGGTTTGTTATTGGAAGGTGCATCTTGAAGGGGGTTTTCTGAGGTGTTGTGAACGATTTACTTACTTTCTCATGATTTTAATTCCCAATGTTGTTTCATCTGTATAAAATAGATAGATCCTTTCATCTGTATCAGGTGGTTGTGCAACAAAAGTTAAAACTGTTCGACTGTTAAAGTCGAATCATCCATTTGTTTTGGTGAAGAGAAACGTCGATCAGAGATCAGTTTGAGTTAAAGAAACTTTTTTTTGTGGTCTTCATTTTGTGAGGGGGAGAGGGTTATTACTCTACTATTCCACTTGATTTTTTCCGCATTCTGATCTTCAGTCACTTCATATCCCTTTAGTTTGTTTAATTTGGAAAATCAAGAGATGGAATCAGTTCAAGTGAGGTTTTCAATCAATTCTTTTTTTGAGAAAGTAAAGAAACTGACTGTATCTCTAAGTGTTTGATTTTACGATCAACTCAATGATCATGAGACTTCTCTATCTTAAATCAACATCATTCAATGGTTGAAGCTGTCGGTTTGTTGCACGGTAGAATGAAGTGAGAGAGAAAAGGGGGTTGACCGTTGTAGTCTAGAAGGGTGTCGGATTGAGTAGATTGATCACGATTATGTGATTTGATTTATTTGTGGCTGGCAAATAGCGTGTGGTTGAAGATAGTTGGCTGACCCGGCTCCAGTAGCTGGGAGCGTAGTTAAAAAAAGCTCAACCCCAAATCCGAAGCGAAAGACGCTGCGCACGTGACTTTGACTATCCAGGTAGTTAAGCGGCAGCGCCTGGCGCAGCGCTTCGCCGCGCTGCGCGTTCTTTGTTACGCTGCGAGCCAGGCTTGGTTGGATTTGTATGAGTCAGATTAATGTTTCATCATCACAGGTCATATCCATCTGTTTACACCAGCAGAACACCAATTCGATTTGGGTGGTCTTCAGAGCGAGTACTTATAGCTCAGATACATTTCCATCCTCACACCATAGATTTGTTTTCTGATTATAGGATACCTATCCCCTTCATAGATCCATATATCTTCAAAGATAAACTATTCTCTTCTCAGATCTAAATTCCCTTATAGTTCCAAATTCTCTTATAGATCATAATTCCATTCATACGTAGAATACTCACAACATTCTCAGCATCACATCAACTTCACTTAAATCCATGTGTGAATATGAACCCAGAAAATATCCCTACTGCTAACGTGGGCGCACAGATTGTTACTATCTGCGAGCAAATCCACGAGCTCGGCCTCACACCCAAGAAATTTATGCACGGATTTTTTACATCCAAGCATCCTGACTTGGTATTTCGTTGCAGACTCATCAGAGCCGGCGTGGGCTTGTCAGGTACGGTAGATATACTGCGGGGTTTTCGGGACGTGCTCATTGGGAGTCCAGAGGGTGAAGCTGGCTGGAAAGAATTTATTCTAGATGAGGTTTGTTTTTCCTCACCAGGCTATATATCCCATTATTGTTTGATGAGATAGTTGATTTTGATTTCCATGATTGACAGGCTTCGAGCATTGTTGAAGGCCAAAACATGCGAGTGGGCCCCTACCCACAGGGCGCGTATGTCAACTCGAACTCGATCAATGAAGATTTTTTTAGTCAAGAGGCTGAAGAACATCGCGAGCGTCAAGTCAGGAGCTCCATGAGCTTCTTGCACGAGCTGATTCAAAGGAAGCTACGTGTCGCATTGGACATCCCAGATATCGCCGCCGAGGGTTTGGAAAACGTGGTGGAGGTTGATACCCAAGATATCTCCTCGAACACTGTGTCTTCTGACTCTACTCTCCTAGGTAGCTCAGCAGATGAAGGTGTGATTCAATCACTTGATAACCTTGTGTATATCCCCAAGCGGGCTGCTGGCTTAAGAGAGCACAAGCTGAGGGCGGTAAGCTACAATTCATGTATTGACTTTTCTTTTGATATCAAAACACTAACCATGTGTTTGAATTTTTCCTAGATTCCGCTGGCCATCTGTTCAATGCTGGCTTTTGCATGTAATAGACGCAGCAATGCAATGCAGGTGTTGAATGGAGTCACCTTTGTTGCAGGTGGTGTGAGCTGCCGCGTCCATGACTTTCTACACTCTCTGGCTCTTACCGTGTCGCGAGACACTTCGCTCAGGTTGATGGAGCATTTGCGCATCTTACAATCAAACCGTATGATGGAGATATTCAAAAAAAACCATGTCATTCGACCTTTTCTCTGTTTCGACAACATTGATATCCATTTACGCGTCCACAATACTAGAATGGAAACCGCGAGTCAGACTTTTCATGGGACCTGGGGTTTCTTTCATGTTCCTCCTCCTGCTATCTTGGAAGGCGTAGAGGCCGAGGATGTCGATTTCAAGGCATTTGAGAAGGCCATGGGTGATGCTGAAGGAAAACCAGTTGATATTTCAATGTTCATTCCCACCACTGAACAACTATCGCATTGGAAGTCTGTCATCCTAGCCCAATTAGCGACTGCATTGAAGACCTATGCTGAACACCTTCCGGGGGGTAAGACTGTGAAGCTCGCGAATTTGCAGACTCAGCCTCCACCTATTGATCCAATTGAAATGTATCAACCCAACATCTTCTTCTTACGCTTGATGGATGCACCGGATTCGTCGGCCGATGGTGTTTCTCGTGTACTGGAACAAGTTCTTGCTCAGATCGGTGTTGATGCCAAGTCGTTTGCGGAAACTCTGCTAGTTGCTGAGGGAGACGTTGGATCTAATGAGCTGGTTGAAAGCTTACGTCGCAAGCGATTTCCTTCCGGCAATCAAGCCGACTCCCTGCGCTGGCTGCTCACCGTCTTTGGGCCTGCGCATGCCACATGGAACATGTGCAAGGCTTTGAACTCAGTTCATTGGGGCGATTCGACTAACGGGCAAGATACTGGCGCATGGCGCACTGCTGAGTCTTTGGGAGGAAGTGCAAAACATCCATCACAACAAGACTTTAATAGCTTGATGATGATGACCAAAAAGATGCATGATGCATCACTTGTATTTGCATTGACGTGAGTATCTCTTTATTGCTTACATATATCTCAAGTTTCACATTTGGCCTTTTTCACACTGACAAATCGTCCCAATCTAGTGAAGTGTTGGGTTCTATTGACTCGATAGACTTATCCAACAGCGACGAGTGTGCAAGTTTCCTTGAAGAAGTTTGGAAGAGATTCTTTTCTCCCTCGGCATTCAAATTAGCCCGCGATAACAATGATACCAATCGCCTCAACCTACTGTACCGCCTACGAGACTTCGCGACCGTGATGGAGGCTCACAATGCAACTCGGGCTGGAGATATAGGTCGTCTTATGCTGATGTGGAAGCGGTGGTCAATAATGTCACAAGGCATCACTGGATTGATACATTATTCACGCCATCTACCTCGCATGGTGCTGTTGCTTGAACATGACCTACCAAGTAAACTCGCTCATGTAGTGAAGCACATGTTATTGATCCCCTCAAACAATCGTCAAAACCACTGGTTAGCTGTGGATGAGTTCTTAGAAATAAATAATTGCTGGCTCAAACACGTATATAATAGTACAGTAAGTATTCTTTGTTTTTACACTTCTCAGCGTGTATTGGCTAATTTTTGGGTACTTCAGGGGAATGGGACAGATATAAACCGACTAATGTACAGATTCTCTTCAAATATCCCACTGGTGAGTCATATTTTCTTATGAGAAATTGTGAAAGAAAATGACTAGGCATTAATGATTTGCATTGGATGTTACAACTTCTTTGAATTCTTTTTACTATCAGCTCCGAGTACTTATCCAGCAGTTGAAGATTCGTTCAGGAAACAATCTATCATTCCAGAACAACCCAAACAAAGTCACAACCGAGTCGATGAAAAATTTCTTACGGTATGCCCGAAACAAACTTGCTGAAAGTTCTAATGCTCAGCAGTCCCGCCCAGTTTCAAATGTCTTTGCCGAGGGTGTTAAAGCAATGATCCGCATCACTCGTGCTGAAAAAGCCGTGGGTCAAGGTTCTCGATTTCGATGGGGCGGTCCAAACTTGGTGTTGGCAGGTGATGAAGAGGACGGTGAAGATGGGGAGGAGGATGATGATGAATCTGAGGAGTAACAGTCTGGCCAAGGGAAGAGCTATCACCTTGAGAGTTGAGGTTGTGCTGATGTGAATCCGACCAATCATATTCATGTTAATATGTATATACATGCTAGCAATAAAAACAACACTCACCTCTAATCCAGTTTTGGAGGGGTTAGCTCTTTTCTTTTTGGTCACCTTTTCATCTTTTTTGCCATTGGATTTGTTACCTCGTGTGCGTTTGTTGGAGCGGTTAGCTTGAGAGGCATCCTTGTCATGCTCTTTCTGCGCTTTGATGGCGGCCTTTTCAACCTTCTTCGCTGCCGCTCGTTCTTTCTCCAATCTCGCGCCTTCAACTGATTGAGGGACCCATCGCTTGGGTTTAGAGCGCCGAGTTTTTTTGACTTTGACGCTGAGATCACCTTCTTGAGAGTCGCGAGGTAAAGAGTTTGCCTGATGAATCTTGATGCTGTCGAGTAAAACTTGGTACTGATTTTTGATGACTTCAGAACTTAAAATTTGCTCAAAGAACTTTGGTTCATCTAAAGACCCAATGTTCTTAGCGATCTTCCAAGCCAAAGATGAAGGAAAGATATCATCGGGTGTTATATCACAAGTATCGGTGAACGTTTGATAAAATAGACCCGACAAGGCTTTCTGTAGGTCCACTAATTTTAAAGCAGGTGGATGAGTTAGAATTGGATCGTTCTTCTCAACACGCTTTGGCACCCATGAAGTAACACTTCCTTGACCATTTGGAACCGGAGGAACTTCGGCTAGCATCTTTGTGAGCTCGGTGAGGTTCATTGCAAGGACTTCGTCATAGTTTTCATTCGTTATGTGAGGCTGAAGAAGCCAAAGATCCTCTGCCTCCTCTGGACAGCAGTTCGAGCAGTCGCACCTACGCATTCCCTCAGCCAGCTGACGAGCTGACTCGGTCTTGAACTCAGGTTCAGCTTCATCCAAAGGTATCCATCCGTGCCTAGATAGTGAGTGATTGTGAGTAATAGTTACCAATCTTTCTGACAAAAAAGAGTGGGTTACTCACTTGAGATCTACCGCTAGTGCCACTCGAAGGCAGACTGGAGTGATCGAAATCGCATCCATGCGATCATCATCAGACATGATTTTCCGAGTCTGAAAGTCTGACAGGACCCTGGAAAGCCCCTATATACCCGCCTAATTGGGTATGTAGGAATTGGCCTTTTTGGGTAAAAATGGTCCTTATGTTCTGTGTAGGAATTCTAAAAATTTGAAAAAAAAAGTCACACAGGAGCCTTATTTTGTATGTAGGAATATGTCAAAAAGTGTGGAAAAAAAAATTAGGTTTCTTACACATTAGGTAGGAGAGAGGGTTCTCAGGGCCACCAGCCTACCCACTTCAATACATAAGGTGAGTAGCAATGATCATCGAGTCACAATGAAACCCGATGTTATTGTGTATAGATACCAATCATGATAGTATTGAGTTCGAAGCTCAGGTAAGACAATTTTTTACACATTTTTATGTAAAAGGGTGTGGAAAAATGTCATATTATGACAGTTGATGGTCATTGAAATCGAGATGTCTGACAGTCTGGCATGGGTCAGCAAGAAGGTTGTTTCAACCAGTTTCAACCGAGTCCAAACATTTGAAATGGCCTGAAAGTTGCTGAAACAGCTTGATTCTGCTCGATCACAACATTTTTTTTGTTTGATCTTGATAGTTTTCGTTGATATTAGACACAATTACTATATCTCGCGTTATAACAACCTTTTCCGCAATTTTTCAGCTACAACAAAGTCTAAAGTATAGATATGGATAAAACAAGCCCTTTAGATAACTCGAAACGGATCGAGATCGACTTGACCAACGATCTAGAGGACGAAACATCCAACTGTGATCGTACCAACATATCCAAGGAGATCAAAAAAAAAGGCAAGACTAAATCAAAGGATGCATCAAAGCAAACGGGTGCGGGTTCATCGAAAGAAGATTCTGAAAAGCCAACAACCAGCATTAGTGTTGGTCGAAAAAAGTCAGCATTCAAAGTTGAAGAGGTGATCTGTCTTTGCCCCAACAAGACTGGCAGTGTCTTATGTAGTGGATGTACATTTGAAGAACGTGGAGATGATGTATTATTGAAATGTCACTGTGGTTCGCCACCTGTGGTGATGCTTAAGCGGCGTAAAGCGAGTGCAGTGGATCACTGGAATTCAAGTACGTATACACTCTTATGCTGAGGATATCTTGAGATTCCACTGAAGCTTTTAATCTGACTCCAGACCGATGTAAGGACTTGAGCAAAAAGCAAAGAACACAACTCCCGGTAACAAGCTTCTTTTCGAAACGGCCGGCCGATTGGACCCCACCACCTAGACCTGAAAAGCGACCAACCATCATGGTACCTTGTGTTGGTCTTACCGATGATAGCTGGCCACGAGACTCTGAATACCGTATCATCGATTGCATCCGCTCTAGTCCCAACATCTATCATGGTGGTCCACCTCGTCACGTTGTCTGTGAAGAACTGTTTGGTACTGCATCTGAGCAAAACCTCAATAAAAATCAGCAATCACAACTGGCACGTACTTTACAATCGAGTGCTACTTGGATGATCAAGCGCCACGAAGGAGTTGAAGCTATTCATTCCACATCGTGCTTACGTGAGGTTCCTGAGCAGAAAGGCATTGATTTAGTTGTATGTAAAGAATGTGATAGTGTTCGCCAAGATAATTCACTACGTGCGGCAATTAGTACAAATTATGCGCAAGGAGACGACATTAAGTATACACGAAAGGCTTTCATGGAAGCCGACGGATTTCAGAGCACTCGCCGTCGGTTTTTTGAAGTCGATGATGTTACAATCACCCTAGAAAAGGCCTCAAAAGCAGAGGACGACCAATTGTTCTGGTCTAAATTTGCAGCTCATGCTCGAAATGGTGCTTTCGACGATATGGATGCTTTCAAGGGACTTGTCAAGGCTGTCAGTATTCGAATGGAGAGGGAATCCAACGGGAAAGGCCTCACCGGAACATGTATTGAACCAGCATTCGATAATTTCAGCACTACACTCGCTGCTATCAGCCCTCAAGGTTACAGACTCTTCATGCAGACTTATGCTGGTAGGACTACAAGAAGTCAACGCATGATACGCTCCAAGCTTGGTCTGAAGCTTGTTGATGGACTCGCCAGTGAGAACTTTGATCACGTCTTTGATCACCTTCAAAAACTTGGCTATACTGGACCTGTGGCTGTTGGAACCGATGAAACTGTTTGTGTCAAGTCGTTATGTGTTTCAAATGGAATGCTTGTGGGTGCTCAAGGAGGAAGCATTCCTTTTGAGTCAACTGATGAGCTCAAGGAGTTAGTGAGTTCTATCATCAAAGAGAACCGCATGTGTTCAAAGGTTAGTCATATGTAACTTTATGTCCCAGTTTTGTCATCTTCACTGAGCATGTCTTTGAATCAATAGATACGAGCATATACCATCCAAGTCCCTCTACCTGGTGTACCCACATATGTAGTTGCTTTAATTGCAAGTATAGACAAGCAGACAGCCAGCGATATATTAGATCTACATAAGAAATTCATCGAGCTCAGTCAGAAGGCAGGATTCAATGTCCTCTCAATTGGGTCTGATGGTGCTGCTACTGAGATTTCCGCTCAAAAGATGCTACATGATTCCGCCACCAAATACCTTGAATTCAAAGCACCAGCTCATAATCTTCACATTCAGATCCCGTTATTGGGCCAAAAACTACACCCTGTGGTTATGGTCCAGGACCCAAAACACGCTCGAAAGACTGCTGCCAATCAATTGTTGTCTGGTGCCCGATTCATCAGCTTTGGTTGCTATCATGTTGGAATTCCTCAACTTGCCAAAATCGTTCAAAGTGACAATTCTACGCTATACATAAAAGATGTCTTCAACACCGACAAGCAGGATGATGGCCGAGCATATCGAGTCTTCTCCTCGGAAACACTTCAATTGGCTCTTGAACATCCGGAATGTACAGGCCTTTCAATATACCTGTTTGTATTAGGCGAGCTATGTGATTCATGGCTCAGTCGAACAGCTAATATCCCTGATCGAGTCATCTCTGCGTTCACAAGTTTTTTTTTCTTGGAAGCGTGGTATGAATATCTTGAGGATCGACAATCTGAGACTAAAGGATTCATTTTGCTCGATAAAAATGGTATCTCACGGCAAAGCTTCAAGATCATGAAGCAGATGGCTACATCACTTCTTGCATTGATCATCGCACATAGGGAATACTACCCAGATGTTCCTCTCATGTTTTGGAAACACGGGACCGAGGCGTGTGAACATATATTTGGTTGGATGAGGATTATTATGCCCAATTTCACTGTCTTAGACGCGCATCAAAACGCACCAAAGATTCATACAGTTGCCAAGCATATTGTAGAAGGAAAAGTAAAGATGCCAAAGTCTGAACACATACATTCTGGTAAGTGCGAGTTATCACAATAAATATGCTATAGGCTTATCTTTGATTCTAAACTTTTCAGGCTATCAGAACGCGTTTCAGGATTTCTTTCTCAAATCTGACGAGGTTGTGTCAGGTTTGAAGTGTTTTCCAAATGACCTTCAGTTACGATCACTCATAGATATTGCAAAAACACGGGCTGCAAGCCTAATTAAATTTGTTGGGATTGAGAAGTGTAATGTCAACCTTCCTGATGTAATCGATATACCACCTTCACCTCAACTCGATGACTCTTCAGAATCACAAGCTGAAGAAACTGATACCTCGATCAGTGTCACCAAGAGGTATGAGGTAACCTATGAAGTACCATTGGATGAAACTGCTATCCGAGATTCAATCTCGGAGGCAGCTCACAGTGTTGAGGATCACCAGCGACTCAAATCAGAACTGGCGGCTTTGGAATTGAACTATGAAGGCACTGAGAGACGTGAATTTTCAGCAACTCGGATCTTGATTGCAAACCTCTTGAATAAAGATGGTGGGTTTTTTTACATATAAGTCAGCAACTTGGGTCTAATATCTCTTGTATCATTTGTTCGGAATCTACATCAAAAGTATCAAATCCATGTGTCTCGAAGACCCAATCTGATTGGACAACTGAAAAAGCTGTGAGCCTGCTCAATGAATCAGAAGCTTTGGACCCCGATGTGCTTGTATCAATCCGCGAGCGTCATGATAGTGAAGCAGCAAAAGGAAAAGGTAATGAACAAAAGAAAAAAAACAACCACCAGGATCCTGTGGCTTCTGATCACGCCGATGCAAATGGAGCCACCAAATTGGACCCTCGGACATGTAGTAAATTGGTAGCCATCATGCTGAAAAACTCTGAGCAGATGGACAAGGCTCTGGATCGCTTACATCGATGGAACATTCATGTAAAGCTTGACCTCAATTGGATTGCAAAAAATACATCAACAACTCTCGACATCGCAACACAAACACTTTATACAAGTGGCAATGTATCAGAAGACAATCCACTTGAAGTAAACAAGTTTGTTGTGGTTATAAAAAACAATGTATGTCATCCCCTGTTTCAAATATGAAGCTGCCGACTCTGATCATTTAATGTACTCTTGATTCGTTTTAGATGCTTTTTTTGGGTAAGATCTGTGCTCTCTACATTTACCAGAATGGTAAGCACGAGTGGATCACCAAATCGTCCACTCGATCTAAGCTCTCATATGCATCTACCCAGCTTTACATGTATAAAGGGAATCCTGGAGCGTGTAGTTTTGAAGAAAACTTTCCAAATCGCCTCATATTCTCGCATCTTGATATAGCAGATATTCACTATGTGTTTCCCCCCACCTCATCAATGAATATTACTGAACCCGAGGCTAACACCATATGGATTCCTCAAGCTTATCGTGCTATGTTAAAGGCTATGAGCCAGAAACAGTACATCAAGGCAATTCTCGAACAACTTGCTGTTGAACACGCTAAAGCTAGAAAAAAATAAGCTATACTTGAATTGTAATATCTAACTTGGTTTTTATTTCTCTCCACCTTATCTAGAGATTTGATTTTGTGTTATTTCTTCAAGTTGTTTCGCTTCATCTCTCCCAAATTCAAAAAAATACCAGTCTCTTTAGTCCCTTTTCTGAAACGTTTGACTGCTCTTTTTCTACTTCTTGATATTGAATTCTCAGACCCTGATCTCCCTCATGTGTAGAGATTCACTTTGATGTTTTTACCTGTTACAGCAGTGGACCGACTGCAGTGGCTGGCCAGGAACTGGAAACACAGTCCCTCCAGTGGCTGGCCAGGAATTGAATTACTCGTTTTTTTTAAAACTCAACTACATAACACTACATAGCTATACTACTCACTAGTCTATTTCTCTCTCAACGACTTCAACTCTTGTGATTCTTCTACCAAATTCCCAAAAAAATATACAAGTTTTTCCGGAAAAAAAATCAAGATGTCTAATTGCTCTGAAACGCCCAAAAACACAGATTTTGAGGGTCCTTATGCAGATGGAAGGAATATTGGGACCTTTCTCCGAAAAAAAAAATGGTCCTTTGTCAACAGGTAGGAATCCGAGTTTTTTTTGTGAAAACCGGCGAAATTTGTGTAGGTAGGAGGGGAAAATTTCGGGATTTCCATTAGGAGGGTATATCGGGGCTTTCCAGGGTCCTAGTCTGACGGAGTATTTTTTGCTCGTGTCCTGCGAGACTCAACTAACATGAGGCCAAGACCTCGTCGGCGATCACGTCCAGCCCGTCCAATCATTTGTATCAAATTTGCAGGATCCTGACGGCCAACAACCACAACCCGGCGCACACGATGCCAATTCTGGCCCAGTCCCAACGCGAGGGTACAGCAGATGACTGCTAGACTTTCTTCAAGGAAGTCTTTGACAGTTTGGACCTTATCAAAAGCACCTGTGGAAGCATGGTAACGGCGACCAAATGAATTTAAGCCATCAGACGCAAGGGCTAACCGGCCACGCGGTGCAGAAATGATTCGAAGATATTCCAGTGTTGCATTTTGTGTACCAGCGTAGATCAGCGTTGGAGGTATGGAAGCAGTGGGTACAAGTGATTCATTGGCAAAGAGTCCTCAAAGCGAGGGATTAAGCGGCCGCTTGAATGTTCGTCGAATGAGTCGGAGTTCAGGTCGGACTAGTTCCCCGTAATAAAATTGTACGTCCTCCTTTTTATACTTCAGATTTTCCATAATTGCATCGACTTGCTGCGGGGGACATGTGGCGGTCATTAAGAGCAAAGGAACGTCGTCTGTCGCCAAGAATCGGCGGGCAAGTTTGCCATAGTGAGGTCGAAAAGCTCCTTTGTCCTGTACCTTCAGATGACTGACAGTGGTCTTTGCCTTTCCCGATTCAACCAAGCCCCATGAGTAGATCATGTGGGCCTTATCGACCACCTTCAGGATCAATCTCCTCTGGAATACCGGATTCTGCCATAACTGCTCGAATAGTTGGCTTGTGAGGAGTATCTCGGGACTCTGAAATGAGATTGAGATGTCAGTTACTTGTAATATTGGGAAACATATGCCTTTATTATACTGACAACATAAATGTAGCGATATTTTCCTTTCAATATGTCACTTATAGCTTCCTTTGAAATAGATTTCGAGGTCAAGTTGATTGCTGACTCCTGGACAAGATTCTTTTCAAGAACCTATAATTGAGCCGCATTGATTTCAGCACTTGTCCAATCAAAGAGCGGACACATCATGATCACTGACCTGGTCGTCACCGAGGGACTCCAAAGGGCAGATTATAACTACTATGCCATCAGTATACAATTTGCAATAAAGTTCGGGTATGCGGCTCTTTCCATAACCAGTGCCGGCAATCAGGAAAGTTGTCTTCTTATTCAAGAGGCTAACCACCACATCAATCTGGAGTGGCCGCGCAGGGCACTTGAATTTTTCTTGGAAGACCCTACGAGCCTCCAGTGCTTGTTCCGTGACACTAGCAGTACCAAGCTGGCCAATAGGGGCCGGGGTCACAGTATTGTGAGACACCCCTGAGGTGGGAGAGTCCTTGATGGCTTGAAGGGCCTTAGTCTGGCTGCGAGTTCGAGTAAGCATTTTGATATAGCTGATGGAAGTTTTGACGACAACGACAAACAATGAAGGGAGAGGCTGAAGAGAGACCTGACAAATAAGTGAAGTGGTACTTTGTGAATACTTTGGTGAGTGGTACTTTGTGAAAATTTTGGGCGCGTCAAACTGCAGTTTGGCTTTTTGTTTGGCTTTGTGGTTCGTAGATTTGTTTTTCAAATTGCCTCATTCTGCCGCCGCAGCGGTTAAATCTGACTTTAGGACATCAGATCCAGTCAACGTCTTCCATATCAAGTTCCAGCAGAGATACGGAGGAGGTTGCAATTGGAACATATGTAATGGACCCTTGCCGTCATTCTTTTCTTTTGTCTCAAGGCATGTTTGTTGAGAGGAAAAATAAATAAAGAGATGTAGAGAATTTGGAGCAAATACAGCTCACTTCTCACGCGAGGATTCCGTTATAAGTGGTAAGTCCCTCGCTGGGGCTCGGGCCTTTGGCGAGGGACTTGGTTAAGTTTGCCAAAATATACTTTGCCCAGGTCGTGTATAGTTGCGAAAAAAAGTATATTCGGGCCAAAAAAACTATACACACGAAACTATGCACAGCTTTGAGTACCGTAAATGCTTTCACTAGCTGTGAGAATACAAAATTGATCGTGTTTCTTTTTGTTTTTTTTCACCACGTCCATTCTCCTAAGCAACACTGGTACAGCAGCGCTTCGTCGCGCTGCAGGCGCTTCAGCGGGCTGCGCTGCCGAACCTCGCTTCACCCAAATCTGGCACTTGAGCTGCGAGACGGGCAATCGCAGCGCTATGCGCAGGAGCGCAGCTCAAAAAATCCAGAGACGGCAGCGGAACTGAAAATGCGGCTGCTTGGCTGACAAAGCTTGAGAAGCGTGGTATCTTCCACCTCGTAAACCTCGGTACTTCGGACCCGTACCGAGGAAAACGTGTACCGTATCCTCGGAGCGGCTCCGTATACAAGCGGCAGATGCATTTGAGATGTCTCAGATGCATCTGAAGCCACCCTCGCAGCGGTACAAGTTCAATCCTCCTTGCTGAACAAGGCTCAGAACTTAAACGCACACTGGAACTACACATACCAAGAGGCCTATTGTTGTGTTTCCACCCAACTGTGCCACATAAAAATGTCATAAACCCCAAAGGGACACAAGGATCACTGCTCACACATACCACACATGGCACACACGTGTGCCACACTTTCTCATAGCACTGTGACACAAATGTGACACATTTGCTACTTTGGCCCAAGATACCACTACACAAAATGTCATATTTACCGGGCGGTAAAGAAAACTACTGACATAGAAAAGTCCTGAGGCAACAGGAAGAGAGCTAAAAATCTGAAAAAATATGCACCTTGTTCCTAGATGTTGGGGCGTCATGACGAGTATTTATTTGTATTTTACACACAGATATTGGTTCATGTACTAACAATAAAGGCTGAGAATCCTCAAAAACCCACCTGTAACAATACCTGAAATTTGGCCCTTGACTTTGAAGACAGGATTTTGGAATCTTCAAACATCAATAACTTTTGCAGTTCTGAATCAAATCACTCGATTTGAAGTGCATTAAAAAGGTGAGCCTTTCCTCTACATTTTTCATTGAGACATCACATCTGTAGCTGGTCTAAAAAAGATCCTACAGAGCTATTCATGCAGAACTGTTTGAACATATGTAGAGTGTTTAAATGACTAGATAGCACCTTACTAAGATTATGAAGTGTGAAGGAGAATAGTTCAGCTTTTGAATGAACCAAAAATCGAGATATTTGGAGCAGAATTGCAAAAGTTATTGAAGTTTTTAGACCACAAAATATTGTCTTCATACTCATGACCCAAATTTCAGGTATTGTTACATGTGAGTTTTTGATGATTTTCAGCGTTTATTGTTAGTACATAAACCAATATCTGCGTGTAAAATACAAAAAAATACTCATCATGACGCCCCAACATCTAGGAACAAGGTGCATATTTTTTCAGAATTTTAGCTCGCTTCCTGTTGCCTCAGGACTTTTCTACGTCAGTAGTTTTCTTT